ATGTCATCCGAAAGCGGCATAAAAAATGACGTGAACAGGTAGTAATATGGAACATTGTGATAATATGAAAAACAATTCAACATGAAAAATGAACAGCACTCTAATTTTAAAGTATGTTTGCATCCATTAATCATATATCCCTTTCAATTTTATCAAAACTTTAAACTTCAAATAAAACTCAAACTAATATTTTATTAAAGATGTACTAATTCTGTAAATTACATTTATAACTTCTATCATAGCCATTCTTTACAATAGGAAATCAATTAACACGCGAACAAAATAATTAATTAGTGGTATAAGAATGAGAAACAACATAATCAACTTATTGTTTATTCCCAGCTTTGCATGCAAGCACTTTTATAAGCTGAAAGATGTAAAGATCAGAGTATTCAAATGATGCCATTCATACTTTCAGCCTGATGTTAGTGAACGTTCAATCTTCTTCAACGCTAATTTCATAATGATGAAGATATTTGCGTGACGAAATCACTAAGTTATAAGCAATGAAAGTTTAAAATAATGATTTTAAAGCAGTAGAATTCGTTTCGTTTTCATTTTATTATCATTATAATATTATTAAGGCTTTCCTGCGAAATCAAATGAATAGAGTAAAATATCAGCTGATTTCCTTCATGTCTTCTGAAAAATCCATCACTTGTAACAATAAAATGTTAAACCTTTCTCAGTTTTGAAACCTGTCAATTTACATCCACAGTGACAATTTTGTGTGTTCAACAAACAGTCAAGAGTTTGAGAAGCTGAATCTGTAAAAACTAAATGAACAGCAAAAGATGTAATATGCAGTAATACTGTTTGTTCACAGATGTACACATTGGTAGAACAGTTTATCAATGTAAAGAAAAAGAAAATTGAACGCCACCTATTCGTACCAAAGTTTATTTTATCGCAAAAAAATTATTTCGAAATTAATTTTAGAGAATCTTGGACGAAATATGAAATTTCAGATAGAGAAAGAGAGCAATTCCTTATAAGCTAAAGTCGCTCCTGTTTTCTATTTTCAAAAAAAAAAAAATTCCGAAACGTGGTTTTAAATCGAAAATTGTGGGAAAAGAATAAAAAAGGATTACACAAGTTTGTTTAGAATATGAAAAAATTTCAAAATTAATGAGACCAGAAATGTTTGCATTAGGAGGAACAGCTCAGAACAAGAACAATTATTTACATAATAGCAATCACTGCTGTGATTGTTGCTGTTGTTGTTGTTGTTGTTGTTGTTGTTGTTGTTGTTGTTGTTGCTGTTGATGTTGATGTGGTTGTTGCTGCTGTTGTTGCTGATGTTTTCCAAAAATATCTTCGTATTTTGTTGTTGGTGGTAATCGTGACGACATTTCTTTCACTTCATGCATTTGCAAAAAATAACTTAGCTGCCGTCTTATACGTCGCAAATAACGCAAACGTTTCCGTGGTACTTGTCTTTCAATTTTTTTCTTCAGTATCGCAAACAGATCGTTGTCAGCCTATGTGAAAAAATAAGGCATTTTTCTACAAACTGCAAGTTACTCGAACATTAGCTCGGAAATGAACTTTAAATTGAAAATCTCACTTTTAAAGCTAAAGATCTTAAATGATTACACGGCTCTCGTGTAAATAAAAGACACATACGAATTTTTTTTATAAAAATAAATTTTACCAAATTAAATTTAAATGAATAAAGATACCTCAACATCTCCACTACCACATTTTTGGCCAGCATGAGAAGAGGAACACTTTGCATCATCACTTTCCGTATCTAAAAAAGCTATTTTTAGTTATATACATGAAACTTCCTAAAATTGTTTAGAATTTGCACAGAGGACTACTTATTAAATTAACAGCTTTCGAGTTTTCAATTTATAAAATGCCAAACTCAACAAATGGAACTTCAGTTTACGGAATGACCTAATTTAAAAAAGACTTGGCTCACTTACCCGATGAATCATCGTCGTCACTATCACTTTCATCCGAGAAACCATTTCCCTGCTGCACTTGGTTGGAATTCCCAGAAGGATGTACTTCAGGTGAGCTAATAGGTGAGGTTGTTGAATGAGCAGAAATTGGCTTCGGTACTTGTGTACCACAAGTACCACAACCATTTCCATCAGCACTCTTCTGAGAACTATTTTCCATTTGTGCTGTCCTATTCTGCGCATATTTGGCCACTTCTGCGACTGCCGAAATCACCTCCATGCGCATATCCGATGTTGTAGCACCCTGATTCTCCATTTTTATTTCGATGCCCTGATAAAGTCGTTACGCATAGCCGTGAAGGCTCTGATATCATACGAAATCGAGGAAAAATTTAAAAAAAAAAATGAAAAATTACTTCTTTTGATGCTTCGCCATTCTGAAATGCAACATGAGGATTGCTGTAACAAGCAGTTGCACTGGCCTATAAGTACTTCTGATCATTAATTCTTCAAAATTTTCAAACCAAGATTTTGTAAGTTAAAATTCCTTTCAAGATATGAAAAAAAATTTCTGAAAATGATTTGTGAAGGCCACAGTTATTTTTTGGTAAGGAGCTTGAATGTATTTGAGAAATAAATTGGAATTATCTAAACATATCTATGGTGAAACACAGATAAAATTTGCTCAAATAATGTATGGATGCCCCGTAATCAGAACAATCACTGATACGTTTGTCTTGTTTTTAAAAATATTTCAAAAAAAAATTTAAAAAATATCGGTCTAATACTTCTTGTTATGAATAGGACAAAAGGAATAACAACTGAAAGGAATCGCTAAAATAGCCAGACTAACATCATGAACACCATTAAAATCGCCCTGCATACGAAGTATATCGTTCAAAAATTGTTGAGGATACGGCGCTGCTGAAAATCCGGTATAATACTGTTCATCCATATGCTGCAAAAAGTTTTATTAAAATTTACGCAGAATTAAACATTACAAATTTATCAATGCAATAATATGGCTTATGATTTTTCAAAAATTTCACATACTTTTCGTTTCTGAACCGATACTGCTTGTCGTGTCAGAGGATCCATTACGTGTTTTGATGATGGTGCCTGAGAAAAAAAAATTATGATTCAACTGATGCTGAACTATAATAGCACAATAGAAATTGTCATTTTTTGTTCAATTCATTCAATATGGTTTCAACATAAATTCATGTTCTATTTCTCAAATTCCAGGTTAGCATTCAATAATAGCTGAATGAAAATGAAAATGAAAACACATCATTTTTGGAAAAGAAAAAAATCCAAATATTACAAATAATGCACCATCATATCAGCAGGAGCAGGATGCGAATGTCCTTCTTCGGTAACATATAACTGCAAAATTGTAGCAAAATTAAAATATGTATATGTTTTTATTTTGGACAATAATACTTAATGAGAAAGTAAAATTACTGCACAACTTGAATACCTGCACACAATCGAGCATTACTTTAGCCTTCATCGACGCATAACAAGGTTCATATTTGCAGTGATAATACACGATGTTATTCACTTTCTAAAACAAGTCATTCGCTGGTCGTCAAAATCGTCTGGTCTTCTGTGTATTGCTCTCGATGTTACTGAGACGTTAACGAATGTGGTAGTAGTTTATCAAAATTATTACCAACAAAGAAGTGCAAAATATTACCTAACAAAAGGAGTTAAAATTTTCCAATAATGGTCAATAATGATACGTGAGTTTCTCAAATTTTACGACTAGCTAGCCTTGCGAAATAAGGAGTAAAATTCAAAAAAAAAAAAGAATTCACGTGATGATGGCGATACCAATAATCGCCCAATTTCTCTTCCCAATCCCGAAATTCTTGCATTCCAATTATCGATTTCTTCACATAAAATCGTCTTTTTTCACGTTGTGAGACAGTAACATTCGTTGGCACCTGCAAAAAGTTTCATTTCCCATTCACTAATGTAAAGTAAATACAATTTTAACTGAATTCAAATGTGAAACGATAGGTATATTATACACGTTGATAGGATACATATGAAGTAGCTGATGAATATTTTGATGAATATTCAAAATTAACTTACTATATTCACCATTGACGGCGCTGTTGTACCATCGAACCCGGCGTGCATGGTTAGTTACCTGAAACATAATAATGTTTAAAAAAATTAACAAATTTCAATGTATTGCATACCGTTATTAACGTAAATATTTATTGAAATTTACGTAATACGTTAAAATTTTTAAATATTCTTCTAATTTCAAATGTGGTAGTATCTAAGTTCAATTTTGACATTATTGACATAAATTGGTTACAGTTGTCTGTGCTACAATTATCAATGAAACCATATGGAGTGATAGTGATAGTTTAAAATTGGATGATAAAAGAAAGGAAAGATGGGAAGTGTTGCTGGTACGACGTAATGTAAGGCTTCTAAATCATCGTTATCAATAATGACAACATTAAAATAGGAAGAGGGAGAGGAAAGGTGGGGGAGGAGAGGTGAAATAGTGAAATGAAAAAGGGAGAAGAAGGCGTATGATAGTTTTGATAACGATGAAAAGTAATGGGAAGAAGTGATAGTAACGGTCGTAATGTGATAGTAAAAATGATGATAGTGATGATAATGATGATGATGATGAATGACAATGATAATGGTAATGATGATGATGATGGTAATGGTAACGATGGTGATGATGACGATGATGATGATGATGATGATGA